ATGTTGGTCAATGATCTTTTACTCCAGAAGGAATTCCCACTAACCAAACCTCTGAGGCAGAAGAAAGAGGAGTCTGCATACAGTGCTTTTCCAGCTTTACAAACTGGAATGACAGAATCAGTGGTTTGCATCATTATCTGCATACAAAATCACTTGAGGAACTTATTAATCCCAATGCCCAGGCCACACTACAAATCAATTAGATCAAAATCTTTGAGATGAGATTGATATATGAGCATATTTTAATTTTCCAGGTAATTCTGATGTTCAGTTGAGGTTGAGACACTGAGGCAGTCATTCTCAAACTGTAGCATACATCAGAATCATACAGAGGGTTTGCTAAAATACCAAGAATGTTCTCTTAAAAGGGGATAGAAGCAGAGCCGGCCCGGTGGTGCAGCGTTAAGTTTGCCCGTTCCACTTCTCAGCGACCTGGGGTTCACAGGTTCGGATCCTGGGTGCGGACATGGCACCACTTGGCAAAAACCATGCTGTGGTAGGCATCCCATATATAAAGTAGAGGAAGATGGGCATGAATGTTAGCTCATGGTCAGTCTTCCTCAGCAAAAAGAGGAGGATTGGCAGTAGTCATCTCAGTCAAAAAGAGGAGGATTGGCAGTAGTCATCTCAGGGTTAATCTTCCTCAAAAAAATAAGAGGGGGATAGAAGCTAGAGAGGCTCCAGACAACTAACAAATGTGTAAGTAGTGGTCTTTTGAGGTGGAAAGCCAGGCTAGCTTACCTTTTTATTATAGCCTAATAGTTCCTCTAAAGGGAGAGATCACTCTGATTGGAGTGTATGTCTCTAAATGGGAATAGTTCTTTAGGCAGAGTCAATGCAATGCAGTAAAGCCCAGAAGACAAGCAACTGAGGTACAGTGCCTGCCTATACATATTGCCCACTTGTCTCTCTAACTTAAAAGAGGGAGCAATACCAGTGCCTTTGTACCTTTCCATGTGAGTTATACAAACAGAATCGGTGGGCAGTTTAGCAGAAAATGTCAGTTGTAAAGATGTACTTATAATAAATACTCCCAAAGTATGTTAAGATCTTCAGAATCACACAAAAGCGACAACAAATTCGAAAGACAACGGAACATAAACCCAAAGAAATCAAGTTTGTAGTGCTATCATCACGTGTTGTTACATTAAAATAAATGTAATGAATATCTTTAGTGATTCAGGTGAAAGTACCATACACATAAAACAGGAACAGACAGTTATGAAACATTAACAGGAAGTTATGAAAAAATCCATTGGAGATTTTGGTAGGAAAAATACAAGAATATATCATGGCCTTGTTTCAGAGGCTCAACATATAGAGCCATTTCATTGTTTTAATGGCTATGTAGTAATCTGTAGAATGAAAGCACCATACCTTTTTTTTAACCATTCCTTTATTGATGCACACTAGAATCTTTTCAACATTTCTACTATTTAAACAATCATGCAATGAACCTAGTTTTGTATGTACATGTGTATTCTCGGGTTATTATTATCTCTCAGATAGATTTTTCAAAGGGGAATTTTATTTGTTGTTTACTTTTTTGAGGAAGATTAGTCCTGAGCTAACATCTGCTGCCAATCCTCCCCTTTGAAGATTGACCCTGAGCCAACATCTGTGCCCATCGTCCTCTGCTTTATCTGTGTGACACCTGCTACACCATGGCTTGACAAGCAGTGCACAGGTCTGCATCCAGGATCTGAACTGGCGAACCCCAGGCCGCTGAAGCAGACCATGTGAAATTAACCACTGTGCCACAAGGCTGGCCCCTCAAAGGGAAATTTTAGAAGCTAGCATTTAAAACTTTTACAAATTTTTCCAGATTATTTCCTCCAAATTTCTAGCAAATCCATATCTTTACCACAATAGATGAGAGTACCTTTTTCTCAGATACTTGCTATTCCCAGATATACAGCTTTATTTTAATGTTTGCTTACTCTTCTCTAGCCTCATTGGCTCATTCTTCAATGGATTTTTGAATTACTCTCATGAATCTGAACAGAGAAAAAATTACCTGAAAAGCTCTCACCCTGAACTTTAACTTGATTTGTCTACTCACTTAATTCAGCTATGCAATTTATTATCTGTCTCTCAACACTAGAATACTAGCATGTAAGTTCTATGAGTCAAGGATAATTTTTCTGTCTTGTTGGAAGGAAGGAATGGGTCACCAATCTCTAGCAGCTTTGAAATCAAGAGCTTGAAATCCACTAGATTTCAAGGCCTAGGAATACTCCTCTGTGACTCTATGCTGCACCTTCTGGGCCCATTGCTCCAGCCTATGGTCTTGCACCTCAGATCTCTGTGAATACAGCCTCAGTATCTGTATCCACGGCTCTTTACCCTGGATCCAAGGCTTTAGTTTCTGGGCCTAAGTTTCTTCTATTGAAGATATTCTTCCTTTTTCTTAAAGAATAGCACATATTTGAACTGAATTGTTTTATCAGCCAACTTCATTCTTGTAGAATTTTAAGTCTCTCAGCTTTCTTTCTTTTGGTGTTGTCTCTGTCTCTTTCAGTCTCAGTACAGTGTTTCTAACCATATATCATTTTAAAAAATCGTTTGTGTCTCATATATCATGGTATTCACGTCAGTAGACAAGAAGGTCGTTTAAAAATCTTCCCTGGATAATCCTATCTCTTTTCCTCACTTCTTTTGAGGATGTTGTGGGATTCATGAGTCACATGCCTAAACTCTTCAGCACTGGAAAAGCATTTTCCTACCACACTTTTGGCTTTCTCTCTAGTGTATACTTTTAAACAGCAAATATTACAATTTTAGCATCTTTTACTTGAAATCTAGATATGCTGAGACTTTCCCAAATCATCAACTCCTAGTTCCTTTTGCCTAACTGTCCTTTGTTAAATTATTTGTGTTTTTTCACAGTTTACTATAACAAGTAAGAAACCTAGCTGCACCTTCAGGATTTTGCTTGTAAGTCTCCTCAGGAAAATATCCAAGTTCCTTGCTTACAAGTTCTGATTTCCACTTAACAGAAGGACAGAATTAAGCTAGGCTTCCTGCCAGTTATAACAAAGATCACCTTTTCCCCACTTTCCAAAGACATATTCCTTGTTTCTTTCTGAGGCCTCACTAGCAGAGTGGATTAAAAAGCATGACTCCTCTATGCTATCTACAAGAAATTCAATTCAAATATAATGATGGAAACTGGTTGAAAGTTAAAAGATGGAAAAGGATGTAGCATGCAAACATTAATTGAAAGAAAGCAGGAGTAGCTATTTTAATGTCAGTTAGTATAGTCTTCAGCACAAAGACAATTACTAGACTCAGAGAGAAATATAACATAATGTTACTATTCTTGAAATGATTAAAAAAATGGACATGGAGAACAGATTAGGAGTTTCCAGAAGTTAAGGAGGGGATGGAGACAAAAAGGAAGTCATTGTGGCTATAACAGTTCACAAAAAGGAGCTGTGGGATCTGTATCTTGACTGTGTCAGTTTCAGAATCCTGGCTGTGATACTGTATTATAGTTTTGCAAGATGTTACCATTTGGAGAAACTCAGTAAAGGGTATATGGATTTTTGTATTATTATTTCTTAGAACTCCATGTGAATATATAATTATCTCAAAAATAAAACATTTAACAGAAAAGGTGCTATCATCTAGAAATAAACAAAAACATAAGCTCTTTTTTTCCCAGAAGGATTTCTATTTTTAAGTGAAATTATATGTGCTACATTATCTTTATTTTTGTGAGTCCCAAATCAATTGGAATGATTTTAGCAATCCATTGAAAGTTTTCATTAAAAAAAAAACTAATGCACTTCAAAAAAATGTAGAGATGATTGTAGCCAGGATGTATACACATGAGCGAATGTACCTGTAGCTCTCTCTGTCTTGAGGATTTTCAGTGGAATTTTCATAAACAAGTAATGTACTCAGGGATTATATCCCCAAAGACCCCAAATTTCGTATATGTAGCCTTGCTTTACAGTGACGATTTTTTGGCATTTATTCTTCTTGTTGAGGTACAAATATCTGCAAGTAGTAATTTTCTTTTACATTGATATAGAAATGTTTGCTTCTTAATTTTGTATTAGAATTTAAGGTTTATTATCCTAAGGAAATAACCATTTGTTGAGCATTCACTTCCCTCTGTGAGCTGTGCTTTCTGTGATCATGTACATAATCTTATTCAAACCAAGAATCCTGTGTGGTATATATATATCTTTAACAAATAAGGTAATGAAGGGTTGAAGAGTTGATGTAAATTGTCTAAGATTCTACATTTAGGCAGTGGTGAAGGTGGAATCTGATCCCAGGCCTCTACAGACCCATAGCTGATTACATTTTTGCACAACACTTTGCTTCCATGCCATAAGGGCGCTAATAACCAGCTCTGAATTTGTCTTATTCATCTATTTTCCTTAAAATTTCAAGCTTTCATTCAGTCTTGGGTCTGTGCCTAGTTAATAAAATTTCTAGGTTGATCCAGAATAAAGATAAGGAATCTAGGACTTTGGAGTTCAGACATGTAATTACATGGTGCTCATAACGGGCATGCTGTTGCTCAGTTAATTCACATATACCATTTTTCAAGTATTTCTGTTAAGAATAAAAGTATGCCCTGTAGCTGCCTGAGCACGTGACTGTTATGCTATGGTGTGTGTGTGTGTTCAATCTCCTTGACACTGTATATTTGAAAGAAAAATATTATTATTCTGAAATTTTAGTTGATTATAATTCAAAGAAATCCTAAACTAAAAAGATGATGCAAATATGAGCAAAGTTTTTTAACTTAAAACATTTTTTTCTGAATAATCCTGGCCTTACATCAATGAACATATATGGTGTCAAGTTTTACATGAGACATTATGGATAAAAATACTTCCTGCAAAATTTACACTTAAGTGTCTCTGTTCTTGTAATTTTTATTACATAACCACTGTAAAAATAAGTATTCAAATTATAATACTTTCTTCCAAACTAATATCCATTTGATCTTTTTTCAGTGGGTGCCATTCCCAGTATAGATGGGGACTGGAAACTGCACAACTGTGGCAGAGTTCATTCTTTTAGGGTTAACGGAGGATACAACAGTTTGTGCCATTTTATTTATTGTGTTTCTGGGAGTCTATGTGGCCACTTTAATGGGCAATGTCAGCATAATCACGTTAATCAGAAGCAGCCCTCAGCTTCATACCCCAATGTACCTTTTCCTTTGCCATCTGGCCCTTGTAGACATGGGGTACTCCTCATCAGTCACACCTGTCATGCTCGTGAGCTTGCTCAGGGAAGGCACCTCTCTGCCCGTTGTTGGTTGTGTAGCTCAACTGTGTTCTGTAGTCACATTTGGGACAGCTGAGTGCTTCTTGCTGGCTGCCATGGCCTATGATCGCTATGTGGCCATCTGCTTGCCGCTGGTCTACTCCACCCACATGTCCCCCAGAATCTGCGTTCTCTTAGTGGGGATATCCTACCTGGGTGGATGTGTGAATGCTTGGACATTTACTAGCTGTTTATTAAGTCTGTCCTTCTGTGGACCAAATAAAGTCAATCACTTTTTCTGTGACTATTCACCACTTTTGAAACTTTCCTGTTCTCGTGATTTTACTTCTGAAATAATTCCAGCCATATCTTCTGGATCCATCATTGTGGTCACTGTGTTTGTCATTGCTCTCTCTTATGTCTCCATACTTTTCTCAATCCTGAAGATGCACTCTCCCGAGGGGAGGCACAAAGCCTTCTCCACCTGTACCTCCCACCTCACAGTGGTCACTCTGTTCTATGGGACCATTACATTCATTTATGTAATGCCTAAGTCCAGCTACTCAACTGAACAAAACAAAGTGGTGTCTGTGTTCTACACAGTCATGATCCCCATGTTGAACCCTCTCATCTATAGTCTGAGGAATAAGGAGGTTAAAAAGACCATGGGAAAACTGATGACTGGAAGACATCGGCGGTCCTGAAACAATCTGTTTTTAATAATAAACACTGTAATATGAGGAACTATTCTGAAAATGAATGGACAATGTACTAAGCAAATTTCCAGTTTATATTCATTGTATCCTAGACTCACATATAATTCTCAAGAAAATTTTCAGCTTAAAAAAATAAATATGGATTCATTAAGATAGGAACATCTATTAAAAAATGAATATTTTCTTTATCCTTCCACCACTCACCATTCTTACATTTATAAGTAAAAATATTTTCAAATAAGTTCTATGCTGTTTGAATTCAGTTTTCAGAATCAACAGCTGAAAGCATTTGAAGCTCCTTGAATGGGAAATAAAGAGTATTTTTCTATCCAAGTTCTCATCATTTGAACGAGATGATGCCTGTAGTCTAAAGATGATATAAAGATTGAAACCAGTGATACTGATGGTTGAAAAGCTTCTATTGTCTTGTGACCTGGATCTGACAAACAGGATGCCTCCCACAGTACCTACCCCTATGGATGAGCCTGATCTGGTCAACTCAGAAGATACCTGAAAACCACCTATAGCCAGTAGTTCTTCCCTTTCAGGAATCTATTCCATCAAATATCTTAAAGAATCCACAAAGGACAGCCTACTGGGAGCTATTTGGCAAGACCTAGTGTCTGTATTGTGAAGAAGTAAGGATTTTTTTTGTGTGTGTGTGAGGAAGATTGGCCCTGAGGTAACAGCTGTTGCCAGTCTTCCTCATTGTGCTTGAGGAAGCTTATTGCTGAGCTAACATCTGTGCCAATCCTCCTCTACTTTATGAGGGATACCACCACAGTGTGGCTTGATGAGTGGTGCTAGGTCTGCTCCTGGGATCTGAAACTGCGAACACCAGGCCACCAAAGTGGAGCATGCAAACCCAACCACTATGCCACTGGGCCGGCCCCAGAAGTAAGAATTTTTTAAATTAGGGTATTTCAATCTTGGGAATGGAAGTAGCACACTGCTGAATGTCTGTTGAGCCATTTTCCCCCTCTTCTATTTATATTGCCTCTGATACTGAAAATTCTCCAGATTAAGTCTTCTCTGGACTTCCTCTCACTAAAATTGATCTGGCTACCACCATTGCTGAATGCCAATATGCCAATGAAATACTTCAGTTTGACCCTGGGACAGCACCATTCCCCAGGGGTCCAGCTGGTCACCTGGTGGCAGGTTGATTATGTTTGACTCCTTCCATCTGGCCTGTTGAATGCTTGGTTATGGTGCCAGTTGACAGAAGACAACTGAAAGTTTAGATTGCTGACCTGCAGAATAAGAAATATGCCTTAAAAATATATGAGCCAGAATGCATGATTCCAGGTTCCAGGGAGGTTGAGGTAGGAGTTGTCTTTCTCGCTATTATATTAAACAGCATACTGGTTTAGTTTTCTATTGCTGCTGTTACCAATTACTACAAACTTAGTGGTTAAAAGCAATACAAATTTTTTTATCTTACAATTCTGGAAGTCAGAAGTCCAATATGTGTCCCACTGAGATAAATTCAAGCGATGGGGCTTTGTTCTGTAGGTTCTAGTGGAAAATCCATTTCCCTGGATTTTCCAGCTTCTAGAGGCCACTCAGATTCTTTGGCTTGTGGCTTCCTTCCTCCATATTCAAAATTGGTGATATTACACCTCCCTGTATCTTCCTTTTCTAGTCACAACTTCAACCGACACTCTTCAGGTTCCCTCTTCTACATTTAGGAATGTTTGTAATTATATTGGGCCTAACTAAATAAGCCAAGATGATCTCATTGTTTTAATGTCAGCTGAGCAGAAACCTTAATTTCATTTACAATCTTAATCCCTCTTTGCCATGTAAACTAACATATTCTCATTTTCTGGGGTTAGGATGTAGACACCTTTATGGGGCCATAATTATGCCTACAACATCCACTGAAGAACATTTTCCTTCCATCAATTATAGACAATAGCATATTTACCTCTAAATACTTCTGCCAATCTACTGATAACTAGAGGCCAATACTTTCCACATTTTTCTTTGTGTAAAACCTACTTAAAGTAATATGCTAAGCTTATGTGCTCAATTATTAGGTATTGACAAATGAATACACCTTTGTAACTCAAGCACCCAGCATAATATAGAACATTGCTATCTCCTCATAAAGTTCCTCCATCACCCTATCTTTTAAGACTTAGTTTGTATCCTACAGACACACCTATTGTGTTCATTATTATTGTTATTTTTTTTTTTACCGTGGTTTACTTCTAGATTTTCATAAAAATGGAGTCAAATGCTCTGTCCCTTTTCTGTAAGATTATTTTCAGACAGCATAAGGTTTTTGAACTTTATCCACATTGTTTTGTGTGTCAATAGTTTGTTGAACTGATAAACAAGCTCAACGACATTGCATAAGATTAATATATAAAAATTGTATATCTATACACTAGCAGTGAACAATGCAAAAAGTAATTTAAGAAAACAATTCCATTAATAGCATCAAAATATAAAATATTTAGGATTAAATTTACCAAAAGTGGAGCAAAATGTATAGTTTTATAACTATAAAATATTGTTGAAAAAATGAAAGAAAACCTAAATAAATGGAAAAACATGCTATGTTCTTTATTGAGAACATAATATTGGTAAGATGGCAAAACTCCCCAAATTGATGTATACATTGAACATAATCCCTAACAGAAGCTCAGGTGGCTTCTTTGTAGAAATTGACAAACTGATTCTAAAATTCATATGGAATTACAAGGGATCCAGAATTGCCAAAACATTTTTTAAAAAAAAGACAAAGTTGGAAGACTGACACTTCGCAATTTTAAAACCTAGTTCAAAGCAATAGTTCAAGATAGTGTGTGCTGATCTACAGATAGATAAGTAGTTCAGTGGAAGGGAATTGAGAATCAAGAATTAAATTCATGTGTCCATGATTAATAGATTTCCAAACAGGGTGCCAGAACCACTTAATGAAGAGCATTTTCAACAAATGCGCTGGGTCAATTAGATATCCACAAGTAAAAGAATGAAGTTGGACTCTCACCTCACACCATATAGAAAATTAACTCAAAATGGAGGAAAGATTTAAACATAAGTGTCAGAACTATCAAACTCTTAGGAGAAAACATAGAGGCAAATCTTCATAATTTTTTTCCTGAGTTTTTTCTTCCTCTTCACATTTATCTTCTTCCTTGGCTTGGCTCCTTCTCTCACTCCCTCCTTCCTGTTGTTTTATTTTGTTTTATTTTATTGTTTACTGAGGAAGATTTGCCCTGAGGTAACATCTGTGCCAATCTTTCTCTATTTTGTATGTGGATCACCACCACAGCGTGGCTGTCACATGATATAGGTACATGCCTGGGATCCAAACCCATGAATCTGGGCCACTGAAACAAAGTGCCCTGAACTTAACCACCTGGCCACAGTTCTGCCCCTTTCCTTTTTCTCTCCATCCCATTTTTCTTACTTTATATTATTAGAGGCGACGAGTATAAAATTACTGTTAAATTGTTACTCATTTTTCTAAGTACAAACTGTCAAAATTCTCTGTCCAAACACCAGGACTCTTACTTGATATGTAGACAATCGTCCTCTCAGCTCGAAGCCATAAAGGAAATTGCAGGAAAACTGTTGTCTGGAGTGAGCTCCAGATTGGAATGTACTGTACGTATCCAAACTAGAGGCTAGTTTTTGGATAGATTTTTGGCTCCTCTAGTTATTAACTGTTTCAATTGTGTAAAATGGTTTGAATTTTTGAGTCTTAATTTCCTTATCTACAAAATGGGAATGATAAAAATGATACCTATGTCCTCTGACTCACTGTTAGAATTAAACTGGGTAATTATGATCTTAAGAGAAGAACTTAGCATGTGGTTAGAGAACTGACAAAGAGGGAAAATCTCCTGGATGTGGGGCACAGAACATTGTGACAGTTGAGGCATCAACAATGGATTTCTCTCTTTTCTTCCTCTTCACATTTATCGTTTCTCCTTTACTGGCTCCTTCTCTGACTTCCATCTTCCTTCCTCTCTACTTCTTTCCTCAATCCCTCTTCACTCTCTCTTTTCCCCAAATCCATTGTCATGTAAATTCCTGTTTCCCTATTTTACAACTGGATTTGAGAACAGCAGAGTCTGTGCGGACAGGGACATGTAACAAACCCAATGACATGAGAGGAGACAAACTGAGATTCATGAAAAAGAGATGGAGAAAAAAAACATCAAATGGCAGTGAAGGTACAAACTGTGTTTATGATTTCATCCCTGGAATAATGTAAAACATGTTTTTGTGAATGAAAAGATACAAAGTTGGTTTCTGACTATTCCTACCTACTTGAGCATTGGTTTTATTGTCCTCTAAGACAGCCAAAAATCTCTTCATTTTCAGTTATTCTTTGTAAAAGTCCTCTGATCTCTAGAACTAGGTGAATTCTAGTTTTCTTCAGCTATCTCATTCGGCTTTAATTATAAGCCACCCAATCTCTTAAAATTGCTAGAAGTCAAACTTACAGTTTTTTCATGACTAACCTTTGACTGCAGATGTTGCCATATTTTTGATAAGAGTGAAATCGAAATACCTTTCTTTATTTTGAAAATACAGTGTTACCTTGGAAAGAATTGTTGGCTGTAGCAAAATATGTGTTTCAATGTTCAACTTTTTCACTTAATGAAATATGCTTAATAATTACAAAACAAATCAGAGCCTTACTGGAAATTAGTACAAATCTATAAAAATATAACTTTTATCTCAGTGAAAAGACATTTTAATAAATTGTTTTTGTATGATCTACTTTGTATATAAAATTAACAGGTGAAACATCAGAGTGCTCCCAAGAGTTTCATTTTCCTCTTGGCTCTGCAGGCTTTTCAGCCTTTTGAGACTTGAACCTTGATGCTCATGTAGAAAACTTAGATATGGTTCGAAATTTTGACTCAAAGTAATTAATGAAATGAAAAAAAGAATTATGTGAAGAGGTTGAGGACTTAACACTTGGCAGGGGGCATTTGGGAAAATGGAATGGTGAAACTTGT